AGTTCCAGTGTCTTCCTGTCGATGATTATCCAGCAGCTAGTTGTGATCTACCACAGTATTTTTATATTGCTTACATGTTGAAATGATACAATTTCAGATGTTGAGTTAAATAAAATGTATTTTTAAAAATTTATTTCACGTGTTACTTTTTACTTTTTCAACGTGGTACTAGAAAATCTAAAACTCCCTACCTGGCTTACACAGTGTTTGCAGGGACAGAGCTGAGCTAAGAGCAGAAAGGCATGTGGAGGGTATGGAGATGGAGGGGTCGCATTTCTTAGGATGGAGACTCTCATTTATTTAGCTCCTATTTTGTGCTTAGCACTTTAGACCTTCTCTGAATTAGACTCAAACAGTCACAGGTAAGTATCATTCGACTCTTGCTACAGATAAGGAAACTGAGGCCCGGGTTTGACCAAGGTCCAGGGGCTGGTGTGACCACTTACTTCACTGCACTGTCTGAACTTTGCAGGGGTGTCACCCTGACCTGGTTTTACTTATGTACATTGGCTCTGTCACATCTCTCCTGCCTGCCTATCTCTGTCTCTCTGGCAGAGCCCACTGCTTTTGGACACTTGCTCTGTAATTGTTGAACAAATGCGTGACCAGGGATGAATAACTTTATCAAACTTTTAGGAAAAAGTTATTGTGTGAAAGCCCAGTTCAAGCTAGGCTGCTTCCAAAGGCCAACCTTCCATCTAGTGTAATGTCAACATCATACCCTCCTTCCCTCACCACGGCCCGGTGGATCCCCCAAGTCTCTGCTGAGGAATCTGGAAGGGGTGCAGTGAAGAGTTCTTCTGTTCCTCCTCCCATCTCTGAATCAGGTCCCAGGTGTGGATCCTTTGGCAGGCCCTTTGTGCGTGCATCAGAGACAGTCAGAGCCCAGGCCAGAGGCTGCTGACGCCTCCCAACTGGAAACCTCAGGTCTCCCTGAGGGTTTGGGGTTTTGGAAAGAGACCTGGGTCACAGTGGCCACTTCTCTCGCTGCAGCTCAAACCGCTGCTCCAGGCCTGGGGATGGGTGGGTGGCCAGGACCTGCGAGGTCCACCCCAGGCTGTCAGGAGACCAGGCAGTGGTTCCTGGGCTCATGTGGAGCCTCATCCAGGGCTTGAAGTGAGCATATTCCAGGGATTCTGGGAGCCTCCTGCCATGACTGCCACACCTGGGCAGGTGCTGGGCAGCCTCCTGCTCACCTTTTTGCTGAGGCTCACAGGTGAGTCCGAGTGCTACCCACAGAGACCCTCAGAACGGGCAGGGATTACCAAACCCAGCCACCTCGTGCTGCAGGGGAGGAGTAGCTACACTGTTTGCCTGCCTGCCAGGGTGCTTGTTTCATGCCTTTTCCTCAGTGTGGACCTTGTGGATAATGGGGATGATGGGAGCTTTGGGGTCAAGAGATAGAAGATGTGACATGAGGGTAAGGGGCTGGGGGGAGGTCAGGGAATGAAAGAGGAGCATCGCCCCACCCAATATCACTGATGTCAGCTCTAGTCTGGGTGGCTACCAGGTCTAGTTCAGAGAGGGTGTGGGGCACAAAGGCAGAGGGACCAAGAAGCCCCCTGAGTGATGCAGCCTCTGGCATTGTGAAAAGAGTGCTGGACCCACAGTCAGGTGGCCATGCTTAACATCCCTCCTTGGCCACTCACAGGCTGTGTGACCTTGTGCAAGTCACTAAACCTCTCTGAGTCTCTCCTTCTTCTTCTGGAAAGTGGGGCAATAATACCAGCCTCCCACAGTTGGGATGCAGATAAAAATGAGCACATGCCCCTGAGAGTGTTTTTTTTTTTTTTTTTTTTTTT